TTACGTTGAGCATCGCGAAGCCCTTTCTCGCCTTGTGTAGGCTGTCACAAGAGTGGAATCTAAGTTTTCCCTTGGTGTCCATACTCCTGCGCTGTCAGGCTCCTGTACGCCCTTCACCAAGTACTCTAAGCCTTCTTGGGTCACCCGATGGCCAACAACTACTACGCTGCTTTCAGTGCTCTCTATGCTGACTTCTGTTGACCGGTCGGCAGGTGGCTCTTTCGATGTTGTTCCTTTGGTTCTTTCTTTTCTTTTGTCAGCAGTTTCTTTTGTGTTCGACTTCAGCCAAAGGAGCAAGGGTGCACTCTCTTTGTCCTGAAGAGGGACGGCTGTCTTCGGCTTTCGGCAGTACAGAGGCAGGGATCCAGGTCTCTGTTTGTAAATTTGTCGCACTCCACTAACTTTGACGCCCTTTCCATACGTACGACAAAAGTCACGCATTTCCGCTGCTTCTTTCTTCAACCGTGGACTTTCCTTGATAAAGGTAGGGTCATCTTTGCGCTTCGTGTACGTTAGGGGAATTTTACACTCATCTTTATGCCCATAGCGTGTTTCCCTTTTGCTCTTAAATCCCAGCCCCATTGCGGATTTCATTGCGCATTCCAGTGCACTTCGTGACGAGAGATACTTAAATTCGAGAGCAGAAGGAACCACTTGGTCTCGGTTGTAGACGCCAAACATGCCTTCAGTACGCAGAGTTGTTACTGATGTGAACTTGAATTCATCAAGGCTATTGTTGAGACCGTGCTCTTTCAAGAAATTCTCCAAGCACCTCTTCCCTTCGAATGACATTCTTGTGTTTTCCATGGTCTTCGTTGCCGGGGTCCCGAACTTACCCATACTGGCTGTCTTCGATCCTGGTAGTCTGTCGGCGACTTCATTTTGCCAGTTTCCGAAATAGCGTTTCCTTTCTTCCAGGGCTTTAATCCTTGTACTGTATGGCCTTGCTCTCACAACACTTTTGTACCTGTCGCCAAGCCTCTTTTCCGCCAAACCATACGCTTCATGTCCATCTCTAAGGACCTCCATCCAGCGTTCGAACTCTTGCAATGGCGTATAAAGCCGTAACTTGCCTCCATCAGCGATAAAACAAGCTCTTCCGACGCTCCACAGACCATTTATGCTTACTAGCTTGGTGGAGGCGGCTGGTCCGTCCTGGTCACTGAAAACTGGATGCGGGCGATGGCCAGCGATCTCCTCAATTTCAGCTGCATGGTTGTCGAGTGTGATTTTCATCTTGTACAATATGTTCTCGTTTGATGCAAGAAAAACATCATTTCCAAAGCCACCAAAGCATGACACATGTACTGGTGTTATCTGCCTAGGCAGACTGATTGCTACAACACCGTTACCATTCTTTGTAAAAAGCACGATAGTTATCTCTAAGGCATCGCAAACAGCTACAACATCTAAGGCTGGCAAGAAAGCGATCCCAGTTGGTTCCTTAAATTCATGCTCAACAAACTTTGCTTTGTTACCTCCCAGATTTAGCATGACAACTGTCTTGCTTACACAGTCAGTTACCCAAACTTGCTTTCTTTCTTTCACGAGAGCTGCTTTAAACGGTCGTTTAATTTCCGTGATTACTGGGCGGAGAACCTTGCCACTTGATAGATAAAATTTGCCAATTCCTAGACTGTCGCATATAAGAAGATTCTGGGGCTTGTCTCGAATGAAGACGACGTCTGTCGGGCTCTTAAAGGCCTTGGATATAACCTCAGCAGTGGGTGGATTAGCTATGTTTGCTTCATAAATTAAATCTTTTTCTCCATCGGCAAGGAAAACACGACTCTCTTCTGTGACATAACATGCAGTCAACCTTCCGAACAGCTCTCCTTCAACTTTTTTTCTCTTGTTTCCTTCTTCCCCGTAACGCACATTGGAGGCAACTGTAACCACAACAGGACCAGTATCGTTTAAAGCTTCTTGTAATCGCAATGATACGTGACCCATAAAGGTTTCGTTGGACATTCTGTCGATCCTGGAAAGAGCTTCTTGGGTAATAGCATCCGCTACGGGTTTGCTGATGGAAACATCTTTATGCGAACGCAAGACTTGAACAATCTTTGTACAAAAAACTTCTCCGTTCTTCATTTGCCAGTAATTATCGTGCTCAGCGACAATGTTCTTGTCAGTGTGTGGGTCGTCTGGCGATGGTATGATAATTATTTCACCGGTGTTTTTGTCTACTAGTGTTGCTTCTTCTACTTCCGAGGAACGCTTTTCTTCAAGCTGGCGCAGGATCTTTTTTTGTTTTTCAAGGCAGTCACTCGCTAACACACAGACAACGAGGCGCTTACATGATAGACGACTTTCGGCGCAAGAAAAGCACGGCCTTATAGTCGACTTCCATTGACCAACTGAATATCCCAAAGCTTTGCACCGTTCACATAGCTGGCGACTGGTTGTGCAATCGTGACAGACGATCTTACAGTCTTCCAGTTCAGCTGTACCTGTTTCCACCTGTTGAAGGCATCTTTCACAGCACTGTAACACTTTCACGGCGTTTGAAATTAACTCCCAAAGTTCCTCGGATGATCCGGTATCATTTACAAGGAAGTGACCCATCGGGAGAGCTATTTTGCTGTCGAGGCTTTCCGCAATAAATTCTAAAGCTTCTTTCGCAAAAGGTAGGGTGGCCATCTTCTTTCTTCTATCATTGTCGTCCATATCCCGAAGTTCGGACATTTCCTCGTGAGCCATCGGGCCACTCGATAGACCAATAATTGAGTGGTGATGCCGGCAATATTCAAGTGCTGGCTTAAGTTTTAGTCCGTCGTACTGTAAGCAACAAGGGAAAATGGTTGTGTTTTGCTTTTCAATAGACATGACCTTGTTCTGTTCTAGGCACTGAATTAAAAGACGTACTTGAGACCTCGAGATACCATCTGTAACCGAATATGCCGGAGAATATCTCTGTAACGTGCGTCTGCCAGGAATGAGAAGGAACTTTCCTTTGAAACTGAAGACAAGATCTTCGCCTTCTTCTCTATCTAGTTTGAATCCTTCTCCGGATAGGTGGTCTACGAAATCATCTCCAAACCTTAGGTAACCTCTAAGAGCCCAAAACAGTATTTCAGGGTGTTTTCCCCAAACAATCCTCTTTTTGGTTCCATGCCTTCCAACTTCTATCATGAGGTGCTGAATTTTGTGGAAGAAATCGTCTTCTGTAAGCTTTCCTTCACGGTATAACTCGGCGCACCCAAGGATGATGTCTTTCCCAGGATGGTTCTCGGCGCAATAGATTCCTTTCTCTTGCACACAAGTCAGTATCTCTTGAACATTGCTGACTGCAAACTTTTCTCCTAAACTGTCGTTTTTCTCCCCGGAGCAGAGACGGCGGAATGCAATACGCGTAGCTGGCTCTCTCAAAATTTCTCGGCAATGGTCGCACATGTAGTCACTAGTAAACGCCAGTCCTGTACAGTGGCCGCTCTGAACACTGTCCATAGCATGTTTACCATTGACCATTATGTCTGTTGTACCAGATTTTACTTTTATGTTTCTGTAAATAATGTATTGCCTTGCTTTTAATGACTCCGACTTCAAGTCCTCTACCATTCCAGTGTGCTTGTTTTTTATATCCGCAAATGATCGTAAGCAGTCCTTCGTGCCACAAATATAGCAAGCTTCCTTTTCAACGTTACGCCTCCACAAATCCTCTGCATTTTCACCAGCAGCTTCGGAATGAGAATACAAATCTTGGGATGCTGATGGATGACGTTTACACCACAATGTGAAGGATCTAACACAGTCCTTTACTCCGCAGAGAACACAAATATTTTTGGGGTCACCTACTCTGTTTCTATAAAGCACCGATGGCGGAGTGCATCCTCCATTGCTATCCCAAAGGCACTTCAGTTCTTCACGGTAATTGTGTGCACAAGGTACGGCTGCCTTAAAAAAAGATTTAAACGTCGGAACGGCTAGTCAGAAGAGAAGGTTATCAGCAAAGGCGAACTCGTTACTTTCTTCAGAATACTCTTCCTCGTCAGTCTTAGTACTCTCCTTGTGATAGTCGTCCGCATTGTCTTCATCCGTGTGGTACACTTTTGCCTCTTTGCTCTGTTTTCGCATGCGGCTTGAAACATCTTGTAACTGTTCTCCACTACAATCATCCGTTCCGCGCCTTTCATCGACTTCCATTTGATCAAAAGGAGTGGTCTGTGGATCCTCATCTTTGTTTTTCTCTGATCTCGTTTCCATTTCTGACGTTTCGTCTACGTCAAGTGAACTTTCGTAGCATTGTCGATTTTCACCATTTTTCTTTTCCCCATACTCCGTTTGGCCATACGGTGTACTTGAAAGCGTTTTGTTGCCTTCATTAAATCCTAGATCACGGACCATGTCTTCATCAATCCCTTCACGTCGAGGGTAATCAAAAACTTCTACGTTCCTCTTTTCTCTCCCCTCTCTTGATTTCTTGCGTGGTTTTCTTTGCTTTGCTTTTGATGCTCGCAGAGCATGTGCTTTCAAAAATTTTCTTTGCCAAACTCGTCTACAGTTGCATTTGATCCGCTTGTGGGAACAACGTACCAATAAGGGTCTTGCAGTTCTGCTTAGAATGAAAAAAAAACACAGTGAATGTCAGAAAGTATTATAAGTAATATAAGAGTTTGTTTGTCATTTCTCTTCAAGGGGTATACAACCCCCTTTGAAACGGCCTCCGATGGGCCTAGCATGAAGTACTGCTTAAAGAGGTTTTCGGCGTATTGAAATAATAAACTAAAAAGCACCTTTCAGGGGTAGGAAAGAACTCTAGGTTTCCGTTTTAGGGAGGGTCACTAGTGTTCATCTTAGAGATGTTTTCGAGTCAGACTAAAAGACACGTAAACACACATACTGAAGACCCAACACAACACATTAGTCCATTATTCGTACATGTGTATGAAGGATACACGGGCAAACCTTTTAGTAGCGGAGGCCGCGGAACTCGTTTGAAGCTGTTCTTGTTTTGAAGACACAGAGCGAATTACTGGGACGGAGAGCTTCTGCTTTTTAACATTCCCAGGCGAGGACTGGTTAGATTTCCTGTAACAATTAATGAATAAATGTTAACATATAGCTGTATGCATATGCAAAATGACCCAATTGAACAGAAAGGATTTTTTTACATTTACGATGATTTCGTTATCAACATTGACCTGCATATGACCTTTTATGGACACGACGTGGAGAAGGAGGCAGAGAACTAATTTGTGTAGCCTCCTTTTTGCGGTTTTTGTAAGCCTCTTTACACCAAGAAGCAAGCTGTGCTTCGTTCGGAGTAAGTTGTACATCTGAAAAGTCCAAAAGAATTCCAAAAATTACATTATTTGCTTACCTCTGTTAAAGTTAAGCTTAATTCAGTTTTAAGTATAGCCAAAGCAACAAAATTACCAAAAAAAGACACCAAAGAAAGAAATGACACATAAATGGTAAACTCACCCTTTTCTAAAGCAAGTAGTTTGACGTGTTCTTTACTAAACACGTGTTTTTCTACAGCCTCTAGTCTCATAACCTCCCGACAATGGAAATTACACCCGCAAAGATCACAGTGGATTGTCCATTCGTCTAGGGCCTTTATATGCAGTCCTGCATTGTACGATGCAACACAAAGCTTTCCGACTGTCACTTTCATTTTCAAATCACTGACTCGAGCCTTAAATTTCTTTAACCTCTTAGTTTCTTCAGCGTCTCGGGGGATAAGCAAACCCCTTCCTTCAAAACACTCTTTCCTCAGCCACTGACGGTAGACGTCGCCACCATCTGTGAGTCTTTTTGAAGCAGTGCCTTTGAGATATTGCGGTCTACCCTGATATCTTGGATCTGGACATTCGAAGACAAAAATATGTTAAATTTACTGATAGAAGCCTAAGGACTGATACGGTTTCGTTCCCTAGCCAACAACAATACGAAGGGAATACAGTCAGTGTTTATTCGAAGCATGAAACTCTGAAGTCTTTATCATGGGCATTTCGTCAGAAAGTGAAGCTAAAGACAAGCTCGCAGTTACAGCCGGTTCTTTTTCTTAAAACTGGTATGAAAACGCTTAAACATTTCCTCTGTAACTGTTTTTGCGTTTTGTTTTTATTTCTATTTTTTAACTTATTTTCGGGCGTCAGACGATTTTCTGTTGTGTTGCTACTTTTTTTAAAAAAAATAGCGTAAAAACAATTTATCATTCAATCAATAAACATTCATCCAGCTTGATGCGAAACGCGATACGTCAGAAATTCGAACGATATAAGAAATATCTTGACGTTCCTACTAACACAAACACAATGTAAATTTGAGTGGATTTGCACTTGTTTCAGTAGTATTTCAGGTTATTTATCTAGACATCAGTGTAGTACTATGAGTACAATTAAATACGTAAACAAGTCTATGTTGTCATGTCCATGCAAAGGTAATTATGAGTAATTATACCCGCATCTCATAAGAACGTAAATCAGGACGACACAGTTTTTAGTTTTTCAGTAGATGTGAGACTACAGGGCATAAAGTGTAATGCCTATAAATATTACTACACTATTAAAGTCTATTAAACCTGATTTCTTTTCACTTGATAACTGTCCTGATTGTTGATTTTTATCCACGTGAACAAGAAATCGTCCAATAGGTCCGCTAACAGTGGCAGATGGTTTCTTCACTTGTTTTGCTTGGCGTTGGTAAGCCCACTCGGATTGCACCAGGTCTGATATTTTATTTCTATCCCCTACGGAAAGAACACAATTTAAACTGCCTTTAATAAAACGAGTTAGTCCGTACGTATATTTTGGATTGTCAGTGAAAAATACTGAATGACCCTCCATGATAATTTCTTGATGAAGAAAAATTACAAGAAAAAAGGGTAAAAAAAAAAAGCAACGCTAAAAACTACATACGTTTGTGCTGCATTTATCTAAAAAGCCTGAAATACCACCCTCCTTACAAATGAATTCCCAGTTAGCGTTAGCCCCACTCTCTCTTGGTAAACGTTGCGCTAATTTCCACAATTTTGAAATTTTATCCTCTTTTTTCGCATTAAGTTTAAAGTCGTTTACCATTAAATTCGCGTTAATTTCCAAATCCTTAATTTCGTGGAGCGTAAATTTCCCATAATAAGGTAGTCGAACATTTACGCGGTATCTGCTTTTAGCGATAGCAACTTGAATTATCATTGTCGTCGTTCAGCTTTACAGTCTTGTAAAGCGGGGTTCGACTGTAAATGTGTAATAATGGTAAATGGTAAGGGGGCGGGGGGAGGTACAAAAAATTATCCGTGCGAGGGAAAATTTCGTAAAAAAATCATGCACTGGTCCGTCCCTATGAGTCCCACAAATTCCCTCCTCAAACATACTTCAAATCCAAAGTGCTTCAAATCATATATCGTATTTCACATTCGACCTACTCCAGACCTGAGGAATATTGCATGAAAGACTGTTCAAATGACGAATAATTACAGGTAGAATATAACGAGAAAAGGGAAGTAATTACCAAGAGCCATTACTCCAATGTCTTTCAGGTCATTCTTTAGAC